GGTTTAGGGTTTCGGATCCTTTCTATGTACGTTTTAGGGTTTGGGGTTTCGGATCCTTCCTATTTACGTTTTAGGGTTCAGGGTTTCGGATCCTTTCTATTTACGGTATAGGGTTTTAGGGTTTCGGATCCTTTCTTTCTATGTACGTTTTAGGGTTTAGGGTTTAGGGTTCCGCATCCTTCGTCGTGCCTGGAATCTAATATTTTATTGAAAGGGTAGTTTTATGCTTGGGTGGAGTTTGAGGCTCGCCGCCCCTTACCGTTTAGAGGTATGGAACATAATAAGCATGTATATTTCTTCTGGGACAGAAGAAGGATTCCAAGATCCCACATGGAACCTTCCTTCCCCTTTCCTCCATTATCGCGCAGACTCGTTTCAAATCGCTCCGCTGTGGACCAAGACCAACATAACCTATGTGTCAAAAAGACTCGTTGACTGCAAGCCGAGCTGCATGTCCTCTCAGTCTTGACGATGAAAGACGTCCCTATCTTTCTGTGCTTTTCAGATCCTCGCAACTTGGTCTTTTGGGTGATGCCAGTCATACCTGAACCTCTGAGCCATGATAATCCTGAGCATTGAGACCACTGTGTGATCATATCTGCACGGCTCCTGCGTACCTGTTTGAGCTGCTTGTTGTTGAAGTTATGCTGTCGTTGTCGCGTGATGATACTTTGGCATACTTTGGCAGGGAGACTTAGGTATTATGTTACAGCTTGAAAGGGTCATGAGCGGCTGGTATGGAGAGAACGGCGGCGACGAAGTACCACCAGAGCGCTCATGATGATGGCGATTTCGTGGGCCATGGAGCGGGAAGACCGGCGGGAAAACCTAAGGAAGGATTCTACAATTCCCAGCACCTGCCCACGCCTCATGAACAAACTCTGACAGCTGAAACCGAAGCCCTTTAGGTGTCCTGAAGCTTGGTGCCCTGTTCTTCTTGAAAAAATCTCACTCTTTATTTGAAAGGCGAACACTATGTCCCCAAGATCTTGAGAAGTTACGGCTGACCCATTCAAGGGAACCGTATCAGTGAGGCGAGATCAACACTTTGGCCGGCAATCGCAACTCCATCCGCACTCGCGAGGCCTTTGGGAAGCGGGAGTGCTACTATCGATTGAATCATCCGTTTTGAGTACAGTCTTCTGGATGTTTGCCCGCCCTCGCAAAGATCATGCGCAAGTTTCAACAGGTAAGGTTTCGTTGTATGGGGACGAACAACTCAGCTTGGGTCCGTGGTTTTCTGGGATGAGTACGAAGCTGATCAAAGTCGTTCATTTTACATCATGTCGGCTCGCAGTGTATATGCAGCAGTTTGCATCTTGTCTACCCCATTTTGAGCTCCGTGCGCACTTAGGCGCACTTTCATCGATGTGCATGATCTGCACGTCTGTTGTGGTGCATGTAAGAGCTACATCTTGCCAGATGATGCATCAATACACGGTACTTTCCGCGTTCATGCGACATGGCGCCCATATTGTCTTCCGTTTCAGACCAGCATCTGGGATCCCACCGCCTTTCCGGAAAGGCGCTGATGAACGATACCGCTGCTTTTGGTGGAGCCCAGTTGGATGCCTTCTTTCCTATTGACGAGGACATCGGCAGCCGCTTGTCATTCGCAAAGTCATGGAAATCCCTTTCCCCAAAAGGGCGTCGCCTGTGCGGCAGAGAACAACAGCATCCATAGTACAAGGAAGTCGTATCTGTTGGCCGACCGAAGAGTCCGGCTTCGGATTCCGGGGACGCAGATTCCTTCGGACATGGGCGGCAGGGTTGCAAGATTTTAGTGCCGGTCCAGATGTGATGTTGTTCATCCACCGCTGCTACTTTCGTGCGGACCACTTTCACAAATATTGTGCATTCTGCTGTAGTAGGCGACGACGGGCATTGCAGTTGACGAACTCTCAAGCCTGAGCCCCAAAACCTCCCTAAACCCTAGCGTACGACCTTCGGATCGGCGTCCGGCTGCCCCAGGCGACTCGGCGTTGCTGGATAACGTCGTGGAGCTCCTACTCGCTGCAGGCCATAGTGTAAAGTCGACGGCGCCTTTCACTCTTGAGAGGATTGCTCGGCTTCCGTAGTCCATATCTCAGGAGTCTCAGGTGTTTGTTGGCCTGGTCTGATTGTAATCTTGACGGGGCTACCCTGATTGTCTTAACTCCAGCCCTGACTAGCATGTGCAATCCTGTTTTCTTCCCGAATGGGATGCTGCTTGCGAGTGCATGGAATCCACAGTCTTATCCTCGAGTCCCACGGCTGGAGGAACTTGCACATTCTGGAGTCTCGTGTCTAGAAACCCAGATCCTAATGGATCATTACTTTGACATGGCGCCGGGCGATCTTGGTTTCGTGCCTTGCGTTTGTGCGATGTTCTTGCAGCCTAGAGGCCAGTATGGTCACGGGGTTTGGCCTTTTCAAGCCTTTCGGTTCGACCGGTTGAGGAAACGTGTGATCCAGGACCTGCACGCTTCATAGCTCTTCCTCGCTGCTCCTAGCAATACTATTCTTACGAAGGCGACTTCTACTACAGTGAAGGTTTTTGATAGGAACTCGTCTTTCAGAAGCGAGGGTCAGGAAATGTCTTAATTGTAGAAGCCAGAAAAAGAAATCTTGTTCTGGCCCAGACTCACAAAGAGACTTTCTGACTTGCTGCTGTGTGTTTGACACATTGCTTGCTATAACAAGACCTTTGACAACATCTTATCGTCATCACCATCAGCTTCGTGTTGGTTCATGACAAAGGCCCTCAAACTCTAGGCGAAAAACCGAGTCCTACAGATCTGGCGAGGCACACGAGAGCTCGCAGAGGTCATCATGATGGTGATTCCCGAGGCCAGTGGTGAGGTTGTTATGTCAAGGCGCAAACTTGATCCGTAAACCCTGCTTCGAGGAAGGATCCTGTGGGTGGTTTGGAGCCCTTAACGGCTGCACCTTTCCAAAACACACTTCGGGTTTCCCGCTATAAGCTTGAGTTTGACAGCGTCGGCTAGGGGTTTGGTATGTGGACCTTCGCACTTAGTGACACCCTGTCGAGCTTGAGCCAACTTCCACAGCTCCTTAGGTGTAATGCTAAGCCAATAACGAGGCTTGGCAGAATGCCGATCGCATGGAACCGGAGAAGAAGGCTTTCTACAAGCACCTTGGATCCCAAGCCTAAGCAACGAACTTATGCTCCGGAAGCAATACATCTGAGCTCAGAATCCCATTCAAGGCTCAAGCGGTTCATAGACATTGTTGAAGTACTTCAACTGAGGCACGAAGTAGATGTTGCGATAGCTTCCATGCGTGCAACCTACTTACCCAGCCCCCAAATCCGTTAAATGAACAGTTGGTCTTCAGGGCTCTGCATTATGGGAGCTTCACTGCTACCCTGGAAATACCAGGAAACCCTATTATGACCCTGGTGTAGGAGCAACAAACCGCACTGCTGTTCGTTGGCCCCTGAACCCAGAAGCTAAATGTTGTTCTCATCTCTTCATCTCTGAGTACTCGTACCTTTACTCTTCGATTCTGGCATATCGGAGACTCGGGTTGTTGCAACTCTGATCCCCGGAGGAAATTTGCGAGTTTCTCCTATATATGTTTTTGTTGGCACCCTTTCTTTTACAAGTGCGAGCTTCTGTCTGCACTCGTCGGTGCTGCGAAGGAAGCTAGTAAACAACGCCTTTCCCAAAGCCCCAACCCACCAGTGCAGAGGACCCAAAAGTCCTTCGGAGAACCTTACAGAGCTCGTATATAAGCCAGATAAAGATATCAAATTCCAGATAGCCCCTAGTTCTAAGCGCTTTCCCCTCAGCCCGCCGTCAGCCCTAAACCCTAACTCTCCAAAGCATCCTCGACTGAAAGCCCTTCAGCCCTGGACTCCCTTAGAACCCTCAAGGAGGCCCCTGAACACCCTCAGGCCGGAGGCCGAAAACACCCTTCGAGCCCCTGGAACCCTGAAGCCGCCAAAGCCCAATGGAGCCCTAAGACGAACTCTTATAGAAGCCCTAATTGCATTTCCTTTGAGGTACCTCTCCTGCGTAATGGAGCCTTGGGACGGTCCTGCCTTGGCCACCCGGCGAATCAAACCGTTTGGTGGCACCAGCCGCCCCAGGCGTAAGAGGAGTCGAAAATCGGCGACGGTAGTAGTCGTAGTAGTCGCAGTATTGGTGCAGAAGTGGTAGTGGCAGAGATAGCCGCAGCCGTTGCGGTGGCGGTATAGCGGTGGCGGCAGTGGTCGAGCGAGTAGCAGTGGCAGTGACAGGAAGTGGACGAGGACGATCTCCGTTAGCAAACGTCAACTCGTCGTTTGCGGCTCGGGGCACTCTATAGGCTTCCTCACTTTTTGAGTATTCGTTTTCCACTGTCCTGAAGCGTCTTGCGTGATCTTGCATGGCATGTTTTGCATCTTCGTGTCGTGACAACCACATGGATACGACCAGCCTCGCCCTGTTGATGTTGCAGCGGCTCTTGTAAGTTGTTGCTGCTCACACTTACGGTCAACAGTTGATTTTTGTGATCAAGTTCTCAATGGAATCAGACTCTAGGCCAAGAAGTTCCGTGTAGTGCTGTGCTATTTTGCAGGTGTTGTCTCAGTCGCATTAAGCCGCCAGAACAGAGCTTACTGGGGCTGAGGGTTTTCGGGTTCAAGGTCTCGGAGTGAGAGGTTCAGAATCTGGGTGCAAAATGATCGGGAGCAGGGCCACGATTAGGGGCTACAAGAGGGTAGGAAGTAGTTGACACTAAACGTTGCTTCAACCCGTCCCGCGAACACCATGGGCATTTTCAACGAAAAACAAGGTTTGCTTCACAGATGGCATTCAGTTCGGTGCAACGCTGGCTCCTCGCCTGTGGGATTCTGTTGCCTGCACACTCAAGATGTATGTTGCTAGCTGTCTGGCATTAAACACGATCCACTGTGCTAGTTGATGTTTTGGGGGAGTGTTCCGATTTGTAGTTGCAGGCTCTGTAGAAAGCACCGAGTTGGGTTCGTTGCTCTGGTCTTCCGGCTCGTTGCCTTACATTTGGGGGGTGGGTATCGTGTTTACACAATAACTTCTGCTGTTGACTGCCCGTGGCTGTTTTTGTTGCCGTTGGTGCTAGCGTTTCTGTTGTTGCGGCAGCGACTGCTGCTGCTGCTGCTGCTGCTGGTGGTGGTGGTGGTGGTGGTGGTGGTGCTGCCGTTGTGGTTCTTTTCGATGCACGCTGTTGTGATGCTAAGAGCTGGTTGGAAGTTTTCGTTTCGATAAGTTGCGAGTGTAATCGTTGCCACAGCACGGGTCAGTGCTACAACGTGAATGAATCATTGGCTGTCGTGTCCCGGTTTCTAGGATCTCGCGCATGTACGCGGTTGGCTCTAGTTGGTCAAAGGCTTTGCCTTTCTGGATGTAGGACTTGGGGTCAAGAGTTTTATGGCCGCGGCAGGCAGGGGGCCCCATGCTTCAAAGCATGAGTCTTGTCACTCCCAAGCCAGGCCGTAAGGTCAGCTGAAGGAGCCGTGTTAGTGAGCGGAGCACGGAAGAGGTCCGGGACATCCTGACCCCGTCCTCGTTTCCCTACTTGGTAACTCACGGGATTTGATAAGGATGATAATCTACACATGTATATATATATATATATATGCATATTGTATAGTCCAACAGATGTATACACGTAGATTGAAGATAGGAGAAACTCCAGCGGAATGCTTATGACCCTAAGCCCTAATCATAACCCACCGGCTTTTTCCCTGGTATGAAGCCGTTTCTCTCTGAGTGAAGCATTATCCATCGATACGCCAAGGATCGCAACGGCCTCCGTCCAGGACGATTCTACATCACCAAGGACTCGGCGGGGGGGGGGGGGACGGACGTCTTGGGCCTACTGGGGTTCCAGTTAGCCAGGCTTAAAACTTGTGCTCAGGGCTTTGGGGATGCTGGGTGCATCCGGTTTAGAAGGGTGTTAGGGTTCAGGAATAATGTTCTGTACGCTTTATTTGAGATTTATGGTTTCAGGTTTAGGTTTCAGTGTTCAGGAAGGCTTCTCCTCGGTCCATGTTGCCGAATGTAGACCCCTGGTCAATCTTGCTGGGCCTTACAGAATGTTGACTTATTGCAAGCCTGGTTAGATTGGAAGGGGTTCTTGAACTAGGGGTGCATTACTAAATTACTCCCTTCATGGGCTCCGGAGTATCATAGAGCGTCAAGGGTCCATAAGCTTGCATGTCACAATCGCGGTAGTATGTAAAAAACATATGAGCATCTAACAAGTACATAAAAATGTGTTCGTGTACAACAGCGGTCCGGCATACGTGGCTCCAAACACTCAAGACAAACAATGAGAATTGAGATCCCAAGCCCATAAGTCATAAACCCAAGAGCGAAGAATTCAACTAAGCACCAGCGCCTGCCTCCATCAGAGGCCAGTCCCGTTCCATCCCCTAAGCCCCATAGTTGAACCCTAAGCTGAACCCTGACCCTACAGAGAAGGCCCACGTAGAACTGCTATGCACAAAGCCTCTAAGGCCCCGTCTGCTTGCGAGGACAAGCGGCTCATCCTCGCCTCGGAGGTCGGCGTCGTGGATGTCCCGCAGGAGGAGGCCGGTATCAGCGGTTCGCCAAGCCTTCAAACACGGGTTGCGATAACATGGGACACTGCAAAGGGTACTGTGACGGTCCATGGTTTGGGGTTTCGGGTGTTCCTGAAGTTTGAACTGGATCCCGATACTACTCAAAGAATCTTTTGTCTTAAGCTCTTTCTGATAAGAAGCTGCTTACGATTCTTAATGGATTTTGCACAGCACGAGGCTGGTGCGCTTTGGCGTCCGGGAAAGGGTTTGTGGATTCGGTTCAATGCGTGCCGTAAACCCTAGAGCCTAAATCCGTAGGCATTGGGAGTTTAGTACTGGGTAGTATGGCCTGGACAGAAACGAGGGTTGGGAGTGCCTAGGTGTTCTGCTAAGCCTTGGGAGTGCCTTACGTCTTACCGGTTGTTTTTTTCTTTGTTTAGGGGGTTCTTGTCCGTGGTGCAAGGTGCATCATCATGTGTCGTTCCGGGTTGTTAGATGCAGGGTTTCAACATCCAGATCATTCTCCTTGAAGACACAAGCCTCCTAAAATCCCGCACAAGAGAGAGAGAGAGAGAGAGAGAGAGACAAAGTGAGAGAGAGAGAGAGTCCTTATCAACCCCTTCAGAAGGAGCCTCTAAAAAGATCAGCCCTTATAGAAGAACCGCAGGTGCAGTTCAAGGGCCGACTGCGGCCGGGCCGCATGCTTCTGGTGGACTTCAGCGAAGGGAAGCTGATCGAAGACAACGAGCTGCCAGCCTACAACCGAAAAGGCAGATGCAAGATGCATCTGTAGGCTTAGGGTTTAGGGTTTAGGGGGTTGAGGGTATAGGCGGTATAGGCGGTATAGGGTTTAGGGTTTGGGGTTTAGGGGTATAGGGTTTATCTCTCTCTCTCTCTCTCTGTATGAAGGCCCAGCCCCCCCCCCCGTGGTGAAGAGGCCAACGTCGGCTCCAAGCCGACTCCGAGAGTCTCAAGAAGCCCTAAGCTCCCTAAACTCCCTACATTCCCTATAGAGACCCCCCCCCTAGAAACCATAATAATATTATGGTTTAGGGCCCTAAACCATAATATTATTATGGTTTAGGGGCTCTCTAGGGTTTAGATAACCTGGAGGAGCCTTGCAGGGTTTTTAGCCTTGTTACATTGTTGATGGTCTCAGGGCGTGTTCGGGAAGAGACTCGCTCCTTAAACCCTAAACCCTAAACCCTAAACCCTGCCCATGGCTACCTTGCAACTTTGAGGGTCCCCGGCCTTGGAGTCGGAAAGCTTCTTAAGGTAACCTTTATATATCAAAAACACCATAAAAAGCACCACCGGAGCTTTAGGAAAGTGCAGGGCGCCTTGTCTCTTTAAGAGATCTTACAGCCAGAAGCCACCAAAGGTTGAAGATGCGCTATGCGAAGCCGCTTGGCCGTGCTTGGCTATGGACTTTCATCCAGGGAACTCCCCTTGTGTGGTAATGGTGCGGTTTGAGAGATTCTGTTCTTCTTCTTTGCATCCGGCCAATGCGACGTGGGATCTTGAAGCGGTCCCAGTCGTGTTTCTGAAGGTTCGGGGGCCTTGTTCTATTCTACTCGTAAGGTCTGAGGTAACGGCAGTTGTGATGGCTAAGGGGACTGTGTCTTAGAATCTCGAGGTTGGAACCAATCCCGAACCTGAGGCCCAGGTGCTGAATTATGTGCCATGAACCTGCTCTAACCCCTCCTAAACCGGAAGCCCCCCTAAACCCTAAACCCTAAACCCTAACCCCTCCTAAACCGGAAGCCATAAGCCCTGAACCTCCGAACCGCCGGGTCGGCCTCGGAAGGGAGCTCTGAGCCAGGAAGCAGCCCTACGCGGACTTCTTGAAGACTCACAGCATCGAGATTAAGGCGAGCTGGATACGCTTACCGGTCCTACTATTGTTGTTATTATGAGAGATTCTATTGTTGTTATGATGAGAGAAATTATGGTTGCTGTCATTATTACTACCGGTAGTACAAGACTGCTGCTTCTAAGACACCACTGCCACCAGCACGATGAAAATGCCTAGCGGACCCCATCCGATCGACCCAAAAGATGAGACTCACAGGATAGATTGGGCCCGGAGCCCAAGACTGACACAGCGCTGATCGAGGAACTGCTCGACGAGGCCTCGTGTTGCTTTTGTGTGCCGGCACTTAGTTCATGGTGTTTGAGATCGTTCACGTGGTCTGGGCGTCCCCTCTATTTGGTTTTGCGCCCCCAATCCCACGCTACAAGCCTGCAGCTTGAACCTCGCGAGAAGGGGGTTTCGGGAGAGCCCCTACCAGAACATGCAAATGAAGCCTCCAACCTTGCAAGCCCCCATATCTTAACCCATGATTGGAAAACCACGCGAAATCTTACAGAATCAACAACACTAGCCCCGCAAGGCAAATCCTTTCAACCTCCACTCCATAAAAAACCCTGGCAAAACTCCAAAATACACGAAGCCCCAAACTCTAATGATTAAGAATAGTAGTTTGTCTCAATTTATAAGACGAACAGTAGCAACAACATGAATAGCAATTAAAGCCCTCTCTCTAAGCCCAAAGCCCAATCTGGCGTTTGAAAGGAGCCGGGCAGCTTCGACGCCTCAGACACCACCCTGGTGAACAAGCGCCCGGGCTTTCGGTTAGGGGCTTACTACTCGTATTCATTACTACCACTACTACTACTACTACTACTACTACTACTATTATTACCACTACTACTACTACTACTACTACTACTACTACTGCCACTACTCCTACTATTTTTACTACCAGTACTACTTTTACGACTACCATTACTACCATTATTACCATTCCTGCCAATACTACCATTGCTACCACCACCACTGCCATGGTTACCAGTATTGCTCGTTGTATTCTTATTATTACCACTATTGCTACTAGTATTTCTACTTGCTTTAGTTGTAGTCCTAGTACCTGTGTTTGTAGTTGACTCAGTATTACTACCATTTTTGCCGGTACCATGAGAACAATTTCCATTACTACGACAACTACTACTATTACTACTACTACGGCGACGACGACGATGACGACAACGACGAACAGAACTACGACTACTATAATTACTGCGCTGCGGCGACGACGTCTACTACTACCATTGCTACTACTACCACTACGACGACAGTCTGTGAGGTTTGGGCACTCCATGGAGTCTCACGCTAGTCTGTGGGGTTGGGCTCTCCAGGAGGTAGTCTCAGAAGGCGAAGAGTCATAGTTGACTTTAAAATCTAACAACCCCACACCGAGGGTTGGGAAAAAATAGCACGTAGCCATTTTGGCTCAAGTTTTGGCTCAAGACGCCCCAAAAACTGTCTTACGCGGCGCGACGCACATGGCCTTCCCGGCGGAAGGGGCGTGGGGTCTCTTCA